GACTAACCAAAATGTTCTGTAGAAGCGATTCGCAATAAAAACCCTTTTGATTTCAATTTTGATTTCTACCAATGAAGTGAGGGAATCTTCCTGTTAATAAGAGGATATCGATACCGGCATTCCCTTTGCCAACAATAAACTTTGGAAGGAAATTTCCACAGCAGTCGTAACCTTACTTTTATTACTGTCCGATACAACGTTTATAAAATCCACAAGAAAAAACTTATTTAAGATCACTATATTTTACGCAGCTCTTTTGCGTACATCGTTAAAACGTCTAATGAGCTTTATTTCTCCGACGTTTGTGAGCGAGCGAGCGGGGTGTTTTGATGGTGTTTGTCTCCCTCCTATGTCCGAAATCAAGCAAACACCCTGCGCTTCTTCCACCGCCCCATCCTTCTTCTCGTTCACTGCACAGTAGTAAGTAGCACGGTAGGAAACGCAACTGTTTGTTTGCACAATTCAGCCAAATATATATGTAACGTAAACGCTCGGCAGTGCTTATGTTTATAGTGAAAAAGATATGTGGGACCAGATTGTATAGTCACGGTGGCCGAGAGGTTAAGGCGTTGGACTCGAAATCCAATGGGGTTTCCCCGCACAGGTTCGAATCCTGTTCGTGACGTTAAAACTTTTGATTGCCACAAATTTCTTCTTATAAAAGACGCTCACACTCAATCGTTCAGAAACTTGTCAAACTGGACCCAATTTATTGATTTAATACAATGTGTGTCCCCGAAGGGTTACCCACGATACCTAGTGCTAAATGACGGATTCTACACTCTGAGTGAAATCTGTGTTTAAACTGGGACACCTTGAAGAAAAAAACAACGATAAACCGAGATTAGTAAAACGGATGCGACATTATTAAAAATAAATAAATAAGCAAACCACCGTTAGTTTTACGGTTGATAGTAAACTCACATTTCCTCTCGTCTCGCGTTGTTTGTGAATGGAATTCATTTGCTATGGTAAAAACCAACTGCTTTCATTTGCAACTCTAAACAGCTAGGTTTTGTGCCTTTTTATGGTTTTGGATGCAGTATCTTACAAGAATACAACTATACAATTGTTCTCTATATATTGATTTGTCTATATAAAATCACATTAAAATATACTTTTACGAATATACCCCTTCGCCGTGTAGAAAAATGGAATCGTCCGGTGGAGATAAAACTGACCGGCAGTACAGCTGACGTAGTTTTTGGGGCATTGTTCAAGAAGGTTGAACCGTGTTGTTGGCAGTGTGTACAGTTTTTTTTTTTTTTAAAAATAGCGTTTTGGGGGCCGTAGTATTTAGGGATTAATACCTCGGACGTTTAACAATAAGTGTTGTTCGAACAACAGCAACGCTACTGGGGCAACAGATAGTTAAAAATAGACACACTAGTCGTATAACAAAGCATTTGGCCAGACTGCGCGCTAACAAGGCTAACAGTTCTTTATACTTACAAAAGGCACACAAAGGAAATGCGGTCGATTAGTTTAAAAGCATTAAAAAGAAGTGTCTAAATGATCGAGTGGGTCTACTAAAAAAGGCTAGAAGTACAGGCAGCACATTAAGCTGTAATGTAACTTGCAGTCAGTGGAGTGGTATTTGTTAAAACAGGAACCTCAGATTGAACCAGGGATTCTGGATTTGTCAGCCTATTGGTATCTGATTTCGAAACATCGTTTTGAGTACTTGACAGCTACTTTGCAACGGATTCTACGTTAGCTAATTTTATGAGAAGAATGAAGCTGACATTATGGCGATAATCGCGAAAAACGAGATATCCAGACACTCGTATCCTGAAACTAAAATAAGGTAGCTAACTGGGAGCTAGCAAACATTTAGCGAATTGTTCCTTAGCGGAGCTATCTTGTCACCCTGCTAGTGTCAGTTAGCTGTAAAGAGTATAGTTGTCCTTCACCACTGTCACAAGCGTTTGTGTTAAGTTTAATGTGGGTTATCTAAGGCGCTGGTCCCCTGTGTTTTATGTTATAAACAGTTAAGATACGTGTTAGAAGTAGCAAGGCTGACAGGCTAACTAGTTAGCTAAGCTGAAGCTAACGGTTTTAGCTCCCCATTACATAGTAACGACAGTTATAGCTGCTGAGTTTGAGTGACAGGAAGAGAGACATCAGTGGTCCGTTTTTTTTCCACCCTCGACACTAATAATGGCAGCACCAACAAACGAGGCCTTGTTTTTGATAAAGGATGTGAAGCCTGGCTCGAAAAATTTGAATATCGTGTTCATCGTTTTGGAAATAGGTGAGTAGTTGGACTGTGAGGCTAAAGCGGTCTCTCCCTACATCAACTCGTGCTCCTTTTTCTTAAAGGGACCGGCAGCTTTGCTGTGAAAGCCATGAGAGATACAGCCTAAATACAGTGAGGCTTTGATTTAATACTGTTCTATGTGAAAGTTGAGAGTTGGCCTCTGGTAGAGCTATTTGTACCTTGAGTCTTTTTGTTTGTTTGTTTGTTTTGTTAGGTCGAGTAACCAAAACGAAAGATGGCCATGAGGTGCGCTCATGCAAGGTGGCAGACAAGAGCGGTAGCATAGCTATCTCCGTTTGGGATGAACTCGGCAGCCTTATTCAGCCAGGGGACATCATCAAGCTAACCAGAGGGTAAGACTGCGGATGTAGAAATCTTCAATGTTGCCAGAGAGATCTGTGTTTGCATATTTTGTATGTCTGCACCAGTTTAACCTGGTATTTCTCTGCTAGCTATGCATCTATATGGAAAGGCTGCCTGACCTTATACACTGGAAGAGGAGGAGATCTACAGAAGATTGGAGAGTAAGTAGATGGTCACACACATCTATTTATGTAATGCTCCGGTCCCTCTTGGAATTCTGCTTAGCGTATCACTCTGTTCCAGAGTCATGCTTTGTAAAATGTAATGGTAACAGGACAGTTTTAAAACACAGTCAAGCATTTTAATACATTTCACAAAATATGATTGGAGCATTTTTGAAGTTTATTTCTAAAGCGAATAAAATTTCATTTTATAAGTTTGCACACTGACCTCTACTACAGTACAGTTTGTGGTTGTTACAGTCTGGCTTTCCCTTGGCTGATAAATTGTGAATAGTGGGGCATTTCTTCCTAAGGTTGAGTGCAATACAGCTGATGGCTGAAACTATCATACAAGATGATTAAATGTTCTCTAATATCTTTCCAGATTCTGTATGGTGTATTCAGAAGTGCCCAACTTCAGTGAACCAAACCCAGAGCTGCTAGCCCAAGCAAACCAGCAAAACAAGTCTGTGAGTACTCTTAGGAAACTGGCCAGCCGGTGCAGACCCCTCAAGAACACTTTGGTTGTCCTGTTCTCACGCAGATCTGTGCATTTCCCCAAATAAATCAAGCTAAACTATCTTCTGCAAGCTTTCTGCATGCCTCAGTCTAAGTGAAAATATATTTAAGGTGGCCTTCCTCTTTGTCTACCAGGGGAAGCCTGACCAGAATCAGAGGGGGAACTCTCCACCCAATCAGAATTCAGGTACATCTGCTCCACCAGGTCAGTGTATTTTCCTAATGCAAATTTTGAGTTAACCACAAGCTGACTGATGACTTGTGTGCATGTGTTACGTAATGGTACACTTTGATGCTAACATTGGGTTTGTTGTTGTAGTCACCTGCATTTACAAAGCTTTATGTCTGTACTGATGGAGCCTCAAAAACTCAGATTCCAGACAGGGACTGGCATAAGGCGAAGCAGCTAAAAGAAGTTCGTCTGTCATCAATTGAATTATTCACAAATGTGCTTAATAATCTTTTAAGGGATGAAAAGGCTGGCATTTCAAGGGTTATGTAATTTTCTCACTTAGTTTAGTTTTAACTAGAGTTAAAACACAACTTGGCGGTAAAATAAAGAAAATACACCAAACATGAGGTGGCAATCATGATCTCTCTTCTAACAAATGACTCATGTTGTGATTTTAAAAGGAAGAAGGTGACCTGTTAAAACAAAACACACTTCAGTCGCACCCACAAATGTGAGACAAAAAACAGAAATGAGTGAGGACTGACTCATGTTTCTAACCTGCAGGTAACGGTGCCATGCCGCCATATGCCAACAATAATCAACCACCTGGTGCACCCCGTGACCCCACGTTTGGGAACGTCGGGCGGCCCAATGGACGGTCGCCTGGCAACGGTGCCCCTTCGGTTACTGCTGCTGGAGCCCCACCAGCTACAAAGTCCTCAGTTACAATTAGCAACGGCAGGGACCCACGACGTGCCAAAAGATGAAATTGGGGGTTAGAAGGTGCAGGGGAGGGTGGTATGTGAGAAATCTATGGACGTCACCATTTACCCCCCTCTTACAGCTTTCCGACCTGTCTGCCCCGTCTTCATCACAGCCTGTGTTGGCTATAAAAAAACAAAACAAAACAACTGACTACTTGCAGAATTTCTTTCTTTTTTAATCCAGGCTAACATGATCAGATGTGTTGTCTGTCATCCGTAGTGCAGGTAGTGCTCTCATAAGCAGCACAGTGTGATTATGATCTACCACTTTATGCATTTTCAGGGCTTCTTAGATAGTCGCGACCTGGTGTGGCTGAGGTGTGGGCAGCTTCCCAGTCTGCACCCTTCTTCTTCAAGTTGCCAGTTCTGTGCCAGTGTTACCCCCCCCAACTCCCAAACAAACACCAACCTGAACCCTTGCCCTCTTCATGTTCTTTAAAACTATACACCCTACTTGAACACTTGATGCACTTTCTTCTCTTAATTTATGTCGAGGCTTAGCTGTCATTTAATTCAGGAAATCAGTTTCTGCTTTATTTAGTTTTTTAGAGGAAAAAAAAAAGGCCTTAAGTTGTGAAAATAAGTAGTTGAACTGACTGCCCACGTGAAACTCTTCAAACCAAACTGTTTTCTGAAGTGACTGTGTGAAAGGAAAGGTGTTAGTTTTGAGTTTTAATTATTGGTAGGTAGACTGATAGTGAACGGTTTCTTTTTTTTTTTTTTTTTTTTTTTTTT